CAAAGTATAACATTGGAAAGAGATTTTGTGCTCAAGAGTACCACGTAACTAGTTGGGTGTAATATCGTATGGAGGCTGACCCGAATAAATACGAAATTAACTGGAGCGAGCAATACATGTGGTCAGTTGTGATTACGAGACTCAACGTAACAACACTCAAATAAAGCTCCAATACTTTTACGTTTACTCGAATGGTGGGATGGTGAACACCAGTTTAGCATAGTGAGTAAGCTCGTCATGTGGAGTATGGCAAAAATCCAGAAAGGAATTCACATTAGTTATGATTTGCGCCAGCTGGTTGTAATATTCCGAGTAGTTGACCTGATGAGGTTGAAAACAGTGAACATGTTATTATGGTCTGATGGAAAGATTCTCCTTCAATACTACCTTCTGGAGACTTATAGTTTAGAGGCCCACTAGGCTTGGTTCTAAAACAGATTTATGGACTGATGATTTTTAGTTATCTTTGAGAAATATTTCAAACTACTGCATTTTATAATATCTAACCTTAAGAAACAGAACCGCTACAAAAACAGTCTTAGCATTTCCCGTTGCAACAAACACTTTCGTCACGGCAGAATTGAGCACTTATTTAGATACTATTCCTCTAAACTACTGCTGCGACATAAAGCTTTCGTGACTATTAAGTTGATTATTAGGTAGGCAAGAAGTATTCGAGTCTTCCCATGTACTTATCAGTATTTTTAAGGAGGGCACATTGGTTGTGAAATTCGGGAATATGGGTAAAGTTTTAACAAAGGACAGAGGTTGGCGAATTTTTTGTTGGTGTATTACGATATCTCTCCAATGACCTTATATGAGTCAAGTGAAGATCCTTCAGAAAAAAAACCACGAGGCAAATCATAACACGAAGGAGGTTAGTAGTATCAGAGTTTATAGAAATCGCTAAGATATTGTACATGGTGTTACGTGGGAAGACTGTAGATAGTAGAAGGTATATCAACTTTGAAAAGATATCGCTAATAGTGTGGATAATATGCTTCTAGCTTTGGCTAAAGATCGATGTCCAGGTGATTCGTGAAGCCTGAAGAATTATTACGTTGCGTCCACGTCTTGCCATCGCCCGTTATTGCAGCACAGTCGATTGATCAATTCTTAAATTACGATCTCAAACAACAATAGAACCAAATCCTAATTCATGTACCAAAGTTTATTTGTAAATTACAGGTAATTAACCCAAAATATATCATTCCGACAATAATTATGACAATCACAAGACAAACATCCAGTTTTTAGGTTTCCGGGGCAAAGACTCCGGAATGCAAAACTAAAAACAAGCCAAAACGAAAGTGTCTGAGAGCGGAGAGACAAGTCCAAAAGTTAGGTAAAACAAATATATCCAAAACAGGGAAATTAATAATATTCGGTAAAACAGTTCCTAATCGCCAAATATGTTCAGTTCTTCTGTAACGTTATAACATGGTGAAAAATAATAAGTAGATTGGCTGCGATGACAATCCATCCTGAAACTGAAACTGCTGAACACCTAGTTGTAAAAAGATCATCGAGCTTTCCGTGTCAGGTATTCAGGATTGATTGCTTGATAGGTCTTGAAAGGTCTCCATCAGTTAGCCCGAAACATTTTGTGACGACCGAAATATCAAGATTCCGTTTCAACGCAGAACTAACAAACCAAAGTTTAACCGATTAGGACAGACTACATTCTTCTGTTTAGCAAACGAAGCGCTTTTGATTGAGTTGTATTAAATTAAATCAAAACACAAACTCGCTGTTCAATTTAAACATTTCTTATTCGAATATCAGAATCATTTATATCAGAAGTACAAAATACATTAAACGAGACAGTCTGTACCATACAGTCAGGAAATTCCCTCGCGCAAACTGACGTGCTAAACGGCGAAAAGAATGGTTAGTAAACAAGAGTTCGGTACACGGAAGTCAGCAAAGATATCCTCATCAAGATGGGATCTGTTATCTAACTGAAAGAGTCCCAGTAACCTTTCCAAGCTGATAGTCTAAGTTTAATAGTCATACACTGAACCACGCCGTGACGTTGAGTTTAGTCAAATATGACCTTATTTTCAATGGTCCGGCACCATGCAACATTAAATTAAATAGTAAACGGCAAATGTTTAACCAAGGTCAGATGACACAATTCTTACAAGAAAGACTGAAGATCATAATGTGTGATTCAGAAGACAAGTGAATATAGGTTAAAACGCAGGACAGGAAGGAGAAACAAATATATGACAATTCTGTCCAATGAAATTTTGTTGAGGAGATTTTAGCGTTTTCCTTCCGTTAAAGTTGTGAGGATTGTCTTGTGAGATTTAAATACAAGCATTTCCACTTATGTCTGTTGATCGGCTTTCTCCAAAATTCTCCATCCTTTTGTCTCTCAGAGAAAAATGGACTACCGAGCACCAATATTTCCATTGATTAATTAAGTTCAGGTGATACAAGTGTTTTGGTAGCATACGGACCCTCTGAAAAATTAGGCACACTTTATTTAGAGTCTCAAACCCTAGTCCAGACTAATATGTGCAATACAATGTGTCAGTAGAGTGAAAAGTCCTAATCAGGTAGTAAAATGCCCACTCAAGTTGAAGCTTCAAACATCCATCGGTGCCAGGCTGTACCACTTCCACCACTCTAAGATAGGCAGTATCCCAATCACTCAGATTAAAAGTCACTGGTGTTGAGAATTCTGCTTTGAATGGATTTAATTTGCCTACCGTGTCTATGGTACGTTCGTCACGCTCAAAGCGATAAATCAGGAAAAGTGAATCAAGTAAAAACCCAAATATAAATGTTAGAAAATGTACACTTGAGTATATTCAATTTGAATGGACATAATCGGACTAAAATAATAGTAGTATTAGGATTACGCCAGAATCAAACCTTTGTGTATTTGAATCAGGGCTGTATCGACGCTGGCACCAGAATCACTGGCAATCGTATTAGAATCACAATAACACAGGAAATACCATATCAAGAAGTTGTATTGTGGTGAAATATATTGAGGATTGCATGATGTAGCCCAATTTTCGATTTCATTGGGATTAGCCCCAACTAATTCTTTAGTATGTCGCTTAATCAGTAGGTTCGAATATGAGAGATCAATATAATAACGGAGTGTGATTAAATTAGATGGACAGACACGGAAACTAACAGATCCAAATTATAAGGATTAACGCATAAGATATCTGAATTAATCACAAAACTTAGCAAAAAACAACGAACAGAAATGAAGTAATGGATCCATTTAAAGGCTCATTGACGGTGTTGCTCCAATTTTTCCACCAGTGGTTTGCAAGCTTTCGGCCGACATACAGAATAAGCAACTGTTCATAAGTCTCACTCTCAGGTTACAGTGCTGTTATCAAGGGATGTAGGATAGATCTATCTTGATTAAGATTGACTGATGTGCATTTTGTCCTACCGCGTTTACTAGGAAGTCATAAATATACCTATCCCTTCTCTACATTAGATATCCTACCAGCTTTCCATTGAGTCAGTGTGCCAGGTGTGAAGAGGGCTTCTATGAGAATTCAGTCGGGAATGCCAGGACATAGCTATTTGGTTAAATGTCTTCCACTCAAGAGAATATGGCTGGCTAATTTGAACCATAGTGGCTGGTAAGATATGTTCATCTGTCCCCAACAGCGAATACTGATCACTATTTTGCTTATATTTATTGGTCATCAGTAAGGCTACCTGATAGCTGAGTCCGACTTTAAGTGTTGTTTGAAACGAAACGAAAAGATTAATTCAAAGTGACTCTAAGGGCAGTCAAGTGATAAAAATTACTCCAGTTGATATGTAACACATAAGAGCAACTATAATAAAGATGTGCTGAGTCAATTATGGACTCAGGGTCTTTGAAAATGAAGTTTCTTGCTCCAGCACCATTCATTTACAACTGAAATAAATGATGGTGTTTTCGACTATATACTTGACTATTACGTCGCGCAACGCTTCGGGATGCTACAAACTGTGTTGAAACTGGAAAATTCAAAGATTATAGTATAGTTATCAACGAATTTTCTTTATGTAAGTTCTTACCTGCTTCTGGTCCTTGCTTTTGTGAACTTACACCCTAATAATCGGATCGGATAGTCTCCAAATGAATACGTGATGGACATGAGTCAACTCATAAATGTTTTTAGGCTAGTGTTTTGGGGGATTCGGAATAATGTTTTTGAGCATCACATATTCTACAACAACCACGACTATTGAATACGATAATTGTCTTAAAATGTGTCACAGGTATTTCGGCTTCCCAGCCTTTTTGCCCGGCATTTTGTGGTGGACCAAGAAGAATTGCTTTAATAAATACTACCGACAATTACTGATGAATTTGGTCCGATTTCGCCATCCATGCGACCACACAAATGAGGAGCGGGCAGAATCGTCCGACACAGAGATGCAAGGCAGTTGGGGGAGGTCGGCAGGATAGTCTGGGCTTAGAATTCGTGCCATTTGGAACTCATCACAAGGTGAGTCTGTAGTCTTTAGGGGGCTGATACATCCTGCAGGAATCGGTCCGATGTCACCTAGCTTCACAGTCACAAACGTTACCACCGGAATTTCACTGAGTAGTGAGCGATTCTGTGTACATCAATAAATACTGTGGCAACATAAGTTCTTCATGAGTGGCTGAAGTAAACACGTTGCTATAGTGAAGTTCAGTTCGAGTTGCCTTGTCAATAGTCAGCTTGGATGTCTCTGACAATAGATGGAGTTCGAGATCGGACCCCCCCAGCCCACTACGATTAAGCTGATGACGAGAGATAAAACTAAATATCTTCTGTAGCTGCAGGCTTACAAAACCCTATACTGCTTAAATCTTTCACTTTCCGGTTAAAATGCTCTTGTAACTACTCATGATGGCCGATACATTACTAACATTGAAAACATGGCAGAGGAAATCTAGTACACTCATAAGTGTAGTTCGGTTAATGAGTAGCAAACGAATATTTTTACTGGTGGAATGCAGACAGAAAATATAGCGGTCTGCTTGCCAAAACGTTGTCATGTATCAAGGGTCGATGTAAAATCAATGGGTGCACTGCTGTGGTTCTTCAAGGTCAGATCAGCAGAACAATCCAGTGTTTAAAGATATTTATCATCTACTTGAATAAAATCAATTTATAACTACTGCGTGATTTGCGTTACTTCGTTGTATCCAACAATATTAGTTCTTCAGTTGCACCGCCCACCTCAAGACCAGTAACACTGATGGATACTTTGACAAAAAATCATAAGAATATCGAGAATTACACTATTTTCTAGAAATATCTACATTTTTTCATAATCAGTTTAATTTACAAGGTTTTATTACCTATTGACTATAATCATGAATGCGCAACATCAGCTCAGTGCTGACTAGTCAAACAATAGTTTGCATACGTCCTTCAATTGATGACCAGTCGGTGTGGTGTCACAGCTGATCGCCTGGTCAACACTTTCACATCACTCGTGGCTGTATGACCAAAAAACCCTGATTCGTTTTTGATAATATGCATAGCGAAGCAAACGAGAAAACGGTTGTTTTCGAGATATCACTACCTGATGACGAGGGCTGCCATGAATGCTCTTATCTCGAGTTGTTTCAACAACACCTGGTACTATCACGTAACATGTTTATTATCGGTTTATTGTTCTGTTTGGCTTTTTCTACTATCTTTATATTTATCGGTTTTATTTTGCTTTCCGTTTTTTCTCGACCAACTAAGATATATTCTGTCATTACGACGTACTTGTTGCCCAGCCTGTTTTTATTGGTCAGGACTTGACCTTGGGCGTGGGCGTTGTACTGCTGTGCTAACGTTGGCTATAGACTGTTTTTAGTAAAATAACATGTTTTTATTTTGAATACATCAGGAATCAATTAATAATCAAAAACCTGAGGATAACCCTTTCGTATCCAACGAAGCTGCAGAAGAAAAAAAGCTTTCTGACCTAGCTAAGGCACTCGAAAGGAAATATGTAAGTAGCATGTCATTATTATAACTGCTAATTTCAGGGAACTATGGTTACTATGAAGAATAGTGGAAAGCACAAGCGAGTTCGTATAGATGATTTCTTGGACCCAGGAGATGGATACGATACACAAGATTCATTTATCGATGATTCCGAAGCTGTATGGTCCCTTATAATTTTGTTTCTATTGCAATATGTAGATTGATGTATTTGTGGCCCCAAACATCTCTACTAAGTTTGGAGGATATTTTGTGCATCAAGGCATTGTCGAAGGACTTGAAGACCAGAGTGCGAAAATCGAGGCTCCTTGGAGTGCAAGGATATTGGTTTGTGTAAATGAAACTGATTCCATTATCCGATAGACAAATACTAATTCATCTCAAAATGTTTTAAGGAAAAAAAACAAATCCAAGTTAGTGCCGTAAATTTCATAACATTTTCTTAGAGAGCTTTTGGATAAAGCCGTCAAACGCCTGTCAACTCCTAATGCTTTTAAGCCTAAGTTGTTTTTGTCGGAACCCCGAAACCAAATGCGTAATTTAGACTCCCTATTTGATGAAATTTTGTCCACACCAACAGCCTCTGAACAAGGTAGTAGCGCGAAAGGCGTTGAGAGCTTTGAGAACCCAAATGGTAAAAATGACTCTTCTATCGCCACTACAAAGTCACCATGTGACATTGGAAAACCAAAAGTTCTTCCTGAGAATTTACCACCGGACATAATAACATGCCTGAACAACTTAACAGAGGTGAGTTAGTTATTCATTCGCCTGGTTCTACGTTTTAGCTGACTGACTTCATTCGCATTACTTAAAATGTTGATTCATAACCACTGTTTGAAGATAGAATGTTAATGCAAACCATTTAAGTAAGGGAGATGAAAAACATTCGTTAAGTAAAGCATATCTCGTAAAGGATAAGTAGTATCACTTGTAAGGTTCCTTGACTTTCTAGTTTTTTAATCACTATGGGATCAGTATAGATAGTAATTTTAATCAGATAACTTATTTGGATTTTTAACGAGCATTTTCTTTCCAAAGTATCAATCAGCAATTATTTTATTGGTCGTGTTTGCTTTGATAATCCTTTCATAAACTAGGAATAAGTTGAGAAGACTTTGGGGGACGCTGATGGGATTCCTCAGAGTAATATATGATTTATATTTGGAAATTTTACTACTTTCTTGTCCGTTTATCATAAAACATGTTGCCCTAGTCTATTTAATCGTACTCAGTGATCTGCACACCAAGTAGTACATAAAAGCGATTGACATTAGTGACAATAGATATCGGGAATTCGTTGTACATAAATTCCCAACTCAAAAGTCATTGAAAATTAAGGATCATAATTTCACTAGCTAAGCAGTACTTCGTTTTGAAGCTTTATTATCGACGCCTTCGAATCTTGGACAATTTCGTCTAGACGCTGGTAATTCTTTAGATGACTTATCTGTAGTAAACTTATATTTTCCAGACAGCGAACCAATTGTTTTGTGGGCATTATATTTCTGACAGTTTGGGTGGAATGAGTTAGTAAGTACTACTAAATTCTTTTTAAGTGTCTCAATATGGTTACTGAGTAGAAACCTGTCGAGTCTGTATTGTACATATTTATTTAAACAAATATTGGTCCAAAAAGCCACACTAAGAAAATAAGGTTGTGAAGAGATAAAGAAAGCTGAGCATAATGAAAGAACAAAAATGACTAAAACCAAGTGAATGAAAGTAAAACAAAATAGTTGTGAAAGCAGTCTAGTTAGGAAAAATACGATCAGAAAAGATTAAGTTAAAGAAGTTTCTCTCACTTATATGAAGAAAGTTGTAGCAGGGCCGCTACTGGCTTCTGTTGTGAGCCATGTTGGATAGTGTCTCAAGCCACTGTCGCACTATCTTTCGAACTCCAATCAGGGGGTCATGAAGGACCAACAGGTCTCAGTCCAGTACAGCTTTCTTTCATATCATATACTGACCATCCGCTTTTTCTAACCAGTTACAGCATCGGTAAGTAATGTATAGTGTGAAATTCGCTGTAGTGCACGCTAGAAAGCAGTCGGTTCTGTTAGAATCTGCTCTCGGTCGACACATTCGAGCCAGACTGCTGTGGTTATGACTGACTGAGAATTATGAACCAGGACCCACGAAAGTGGTCGACATACTTAGTTTACAAATATTTGTTCAAAGTACTGCTTGTACACGGTGGACTACCAAGTGAGTAATGCAGAGGTCGGACGTAGAGTACTAGGCATATATGGCAAGTCGGTTAACGAGTCTTAATGTTTATCGACTGAGGTGTCTAGAACATGTATTACATACGCTCAGCCACTCCCTACCACAAAATACCATATTGACTTTCGTAAGAGTAAGCTGGAAGAAAGCTATGAACGAACAAAACAAGACGTGAGATAAGTAAATGAAGTCATTGACTGCTATTCTGAACATTTTAAGTAGGTACGGACTACTTAACTGGGGTTAGTGCAATTATCGTAATTACTGGTTAAAGATCTTGGTTGAAGTGACTTATAATTGTTCTCACTAGCGCAGGTACATTCACTCTTTATCTTCTCTCAAAACTGGTCATAGTAGCGCAATTAAATTCATTCTCTTTCACTACCACTATTACTGTCACTACATTTACTTGGGGATTCGCCTTGATTTTTTCATTTAATTGTCCTGATAGAGTGTGGCAACTTTAACCGTTACACACATGTGCCCGGTTCTACGTTGCATACGACTGACTGATTAGATCGTGGTTTCAGTTTTTCGTCTTTGTATCATAATAGGTTTTTCATTTAACTTGGATTTCGTTCCTCCTTGTTGCTGCTCATCTTGATTTTCTTTTACGTTGTTAATATACAGTATGATGCACATTCGTATCAGGTCCTACACTGACAACGACTGGTTGTAAAGGTTGGGTTACTGGTGATTGTAGACTGGAAACATACGGATGAAGATTTCGGGACAGATTTGCGATCTGTAAAATTTTGTTTGTTTCGAAGTTCTGTTAAAATTCCTTCGAATAGTCATTCCAAGGAAATGAAGTCAGGTCATTTACTTGCTTACTGAGTGACTTGTTGATGTGCTTGATATTTTTCGTTAGGATTTTACATATTTTAGTTGACAACTCATGTGTTTGAATCAGTTGACTTTTATAATACTGTTTTTTATTCAACTTATGAGTAACTTAATTCCAGCTCAATAAACATGGAACAAATCAACGTCGTACACTAGGAAAACCATTTGATACGGAACTACTAAAGTAAGTTTTTAAATTGTACTAGTTAGTCTTAAAGTTAGTCAGTTGACTGTTATCGTTATCTGTTGTGATAAAAAAGTGAACAATAGTGTGGTAAACTTTAGATTCTGTTTCCCCATTATTTATTAGCGTGGTTCGGTTAGATAAGTTGAGTGAATAAACAAGTAACTATTATACCCCAGTTTGTATGATTTAATCATAAAACAATTATTTCGGACACAGTAGTTTTCGCCGGCTGGCAGTCTATGGTGTCGTTGTACAAACTACAGCGCCTACTGATATTACGTAGAGACCCTAAAAAATATGTCATACAGCTAATTCCCTCCTTTTTGAGGTTATTTAGTTATTTTTAAACTTCCTAGCATTACTAACGATTTCATTTGCTTTAGAGAGCTGTAACCTAGTGGTGAATGTACTCAGGTTCTAATTAGTAGACCATATTTTCGAGTCTTTCTTCACCCACTTCCATTTTAGCGTCCGAGTAGTATCACTATCCTTAACAGTTCAACTTGAAGAATAGTATGTAGTCATGTATTAGGTGAACTAGCTTCGTAAGCAACTCAAATAAGTTCGATGGTTTTTTCTTGGTATATAACATCAACATTCTGAAAATATTGCTTCTTCATGATTTCCGACTCCTCATTCTGCCCTGTAAGGTAAAAGCCTCGGTAAGATGCCAGTTTGATAGCTGTTAGTCGGAATTGGATAGAAACGAAATCTGCGTAGCCATTTCTCATTGTGAAGTTCCAACTAGGTTTTCTATTTGGTCTACTAATATGAAACAGCCTAGACGAGATTATCTATACTTTTTAGAAGTCTTATTTAACTCAGTAACCAGGGCCAAGTCCGTGTACCCAGTTCTGAGTCACATATTTTGTGTGAGTACTAGTAATATCACCTAGGTGCTCAAGCCGAAGTAATTGAAGTGGGTTTCTATAACCAACTTAACGCTTGACACCTGAATGCTTCAACCAGTAAACCTCTTTATTATACGTGTTGTTGAAACTATATGTCTTCATTCATGGAGCTCCAAACCTATCATAAAAAGGGACGAAACGATTGCAATTTAATGCCCACTGTAATGAACCGGAACTAGTTTTTACACTTATAACTATAATTCAAATCAGTTATTATTTATACTCTTAAACAAATGAATTGTAATAGTAACAATAGTCTACTATCTATGTTAACGAAAAATGTCTCGAGTTTTGTACACAAGTATGTTGTTTATATTGTTAATGAGTTTTGACACGAAATCTTTCTAAAATACATTAATTTTTAAAAGAATTCCCGTAATCCAGTGCTTCTTTTATTTAGACACATAAAGATTGGTGCAAGGAGGCATCAAATACACATGCGTTACATAAATCATTCGATTTGTGTGAGGGCTGGGATACTGCCTGGGTGCCCAAACAGAAGCAGGTGGTTTTTTAGGGGACCATTCACTGAGTATTTGACTTAAAGATCTAATCCACAAAGCGGTGGAACAACGTTGGGAGATGCATTCCTATGGTAGCCGTTGATCAACAATGGGTTCACACACCATTTGGACCCTCCGTGTCCACCAACTCGGTTAAAGGGCTGGACATTCGCTTTTCACCATGTCACGAATAATGCACTCCACCACAGTTTCGGTCACAATCTTTGAAACTGACAAGCAATTATATTAAAAATTTGATATCTACTTGGCACATATTTCCAGTGAGTAACTCAGTTTATAAATCTATTGCAATAAATAAATTTTTATATTGATGGATTGTGTAGTTTCGACTAATAATTTCTAAAAACTATTTTGTTCATAATATTTAGATTGGATATAAAGTTGAAAGAATTGATGATGAGTCAGTCTGTTAGGTCAGATGTATTCAGCTACTTAGAAAGTCACTTACAATTGAAACACAAAGCTGTAATGCGTAGACTTAAAAGATTGAAAGAAGATAAACAAGAACAGAGAATGAACCCGCTATTGGATGCTCTTGGTGAAGGTATGTGATCATTGCTATTAGGTAGCTAAGCGTACTGAAAAGTTTGTTTTGTAAATGAAATGACATATCTGTCGTACCTCTTATTTAAAACCTTACTTTATCCACCTTACAATGAATTTGTTCTTAGAAATTATATAACCAGGTTAAAACATGCATCGTATTGGTACTCAAAATATGGGTTCTTTTAATACACATTTACTAACAAAAGTCACTAGTTGTGTTCGATAAGCAGTGCGACTGAAGACTGATCTCATTGTAGAGCACAGTTATGTTCACTTTTTCCAACTTGCGGAGATTACTATTTAATTTTCATCCAACCTCCACTACTTTTTTTCCTACCTTGCTATAGGAAACCATGTTACCACTTTACTGTTATAACTTGTGGCCGAGTGGATGCCCTGTTAACGTATGCCGTGATAAGACCGCCAATCAGAGAGCAGCGAATTATCGGTTGGAACAGTGACACACGGAAACCGTACGAGCAGTCTAGAGTACGTATCGGTCCTGCTTCTGCCTAGCCCAACCAGTTAAGTCCATAAGAGCCTCTGCGGTATGAATCATTGTATTTCAAACATACTGAGTTTATATACCAATCAAACTGACCATATCGCACCATAAAATAGAAAATAACATGTGTACAAGATTTAGCCAAATGTGGCTGTGAATAAGGGGAACAGTAATCAATAGACTGGGTGTAATTCATGAATGGTAAATCGTATAACAATAGTTTGTAGTTCAAAATAAATCTCATGATAAGGGGATCATGAATATGAATAGTTTAGTTATTTAGCGATTATACGATAAAAAAATATATGCATAATATTGGTCCATAAATGGATCCCAAAGTTACCATTCACTATTGTTATCGGGACATAACATTTACCAATTCAGTATTGTCACTTTATTCGTATCTAGTCAATCTTGTACATACGTTTACAGTGTAAATATGAGCTTTATCTGTGGGGTCTATGAAATAACTAAATCTTATACCTATAGTCTTCAAAAGGACTTAATTTCTGGTTTTATTCTTATTTCTTGACTTAAGCTATTTCATCGTCTATGCCTCCAATTATTGAAAGTTATACAAGAGATAAAGAAGTTCACTTGGAACGTATTAAAGCTTGGCAAACAGAGTAAGTTAATCAATATGTTGCAATATTTTTCAACTGAACTGTTACTTTAAACACTTCAATTTTAACTGCATGGCGGATTTGTAAATCATCCCATAAGTTTTAGTTCGGGCATCCTGGTGATACTTTTTAGTCGTCATCAATAGTACTACTCAGAGGTTGGCACATAAACATGTGCTGACTGGTTTTCCGTTTATGAATATTAAAAAGCGACCAAAATTAGAAACATTGAATAGTTAAGGGTAATAATCACTCATTTTAAAATTCGGTTATATTTCGACATTCAGTTATTGATCAATTCAGTTTGTTACTCTGCTGTATTCTGGTAACCGTTCACTCAGTATTGATATTTGTTTAGTGTAAAATTCATCTTAAGTTATAATTATTCAAAGATAATTATAAATTACTAAGAAAGGGAACCTGTATATAAGATATGCTATTTTTCTTATAAAATATAAATTCTTCGCAACTGTGGACTAGGCTTTTTCCACTTAATTGTTGAGGGTCTAGGTCAAGAGTTTACTATTGCTCTGATATTTTCGAATTACTTATGAAAGAGCCGGCTATAACTCAGTTGGAAAACGATGTAATATTATTAAACATTTCTGACACTGGATTCATATGGCCTATACTGAAAGATGTAGTTTTACAATTTATGTATGTAGTAGGTTTGTGGTTTAGTAGTAGTTTTTATTCTAAATTGTGGTTATTGTGGTTATTGAATCAAGAGTTGAACTATACTGAATGGCCGTTTAGGATCTTGGTAACTATTTGGTTGGGATATGAACGTTGCTCATTTTTAATTAGGCACTAATTAGCATAGAGTAAACGGGATGTTCTCTATTTGCAAGTTATATGGTTGTTAGCCACGTGTTTTCTTCGACTATTTTTGGCACCCTCTACCAAGTATAAATATCTTCAGCGACAACCCCCTCAATTGTTCTTTTTCGGTTTCAGAAATTCGCAAAGCGGTTCAGATTTAAACGATAATCAAGGTGTTAATGGTTCAAGCGACGGAAACTTATCGAAACGCCCTCCAAAACCCGGACCCCCTAAGAAAATCTATCGATGGAATACTGAATGCAGGTAAGTTATTTACTGTCATATCTGTTTCATCAATTTTGAATAGTACTTCGTTATTGATGTAAAATCGACTGATCTCTGCTACCTACATGAAGCTTACAACTTAGATAGAGTTCGGGCCATATGAACACTAACTAGTCTTAATATTGAAGAAAATATCAGGCAGATTGCATTTTGGATGGAACTTTTATGTTTGTTGTGAAGTTCCCATTCACTCGAGTCTTCGAAAAAATTTAATGATGTTTGCCGTGCAAGCGTTTTTCAATATGATCATGCCAATCTTAAGATTTCGAAACTACTTACGGTGATTAGCCCCCAGTCATTCTCTGGTTGATATAACGGTTCACCTTAATCCCGATTTAAAATAATATCGCTTTTAATTGAGTAAAATATTGTAAGGCCTGTCTACTGTAGGTGTGCCACAAAGAACTGTTCTTTCACCTCTGCTCTTCTCTTTCTTTTTGCATGATCTGCCATCTTCCACAGAAAACACTTTTGTAAAATATGCAGACGACCTCACTGTATGTATTCCAATTTCTACCTCCTTACATCCTATAGAAATGAATGAGTTTTTATCTCGTATTGAAAGGTGGTCTGTTGGTAATGGTCTCTTACTCAATCCATCTAAATGTCAAGCTGTTAATTTTAGCTTGAGACATGGACAGAACCTATACTCTATGTTGGGATCCCATAATGCTTGTGCCATTGGAGACTCCTTAATAAACACAGTGTCGAAGGTCAAATATCTTGGTGTCACTTTTTCCTCTGATCTTTCTTGGTCTTCTCATGTTTTACTGTTATCGAAAAAAGTTTACCGTTTGACATACTACGTAAAGAGGCTGCATGCTTTTGGGATTACTCGCCATTTACTCTTACAATTTGTAAATTTCTGCATATTACCTATTATTTTATATTGTTCTCCATTATTCTTCCCCGGGCTTTTGACAAAAGACTGCTATTTTGCGTAGAGTGCTGAAGGCAGTTTGCAAGGTATGTGGTGAATCTTTTGAAGTCATTGTTAATATGCTTGTGGATAGACATCTTAAATCTTGCAAACTCTTGGCAGGTATTATCTTATCAGATACTAACCATCCGCTTCATTCATATCTTTCTCCTTGTATATCTTCTGGTAGAACGAGACGTAAATACATTAAAATCCATGCACGCAAGCAAATCTATAAAAGTCCTGTAATACCTTACCTTGCAAATTTACTTTTTGACGAACAGGCTGTTAGAGTTGACCTAGTAAATAACCTGTATTCTTAAGCATGTCTCAAATTCGATAATTTGTATAAAATCAGATTTTCTTAAACCTTTTTTTATTTCTGTTCTGCTTTTTTTTGTTTGTTTTGTTTCTTTTTTGGTAAAAAAACTTGTTGAAATAACTCATGCTGAGAATTATATATTGTACCAGATTATAATATTGAATAAAGCCATTAATAATAATAATAATAATAATAACGGCGCACTATCCGAAAATCCCAAACTGTAGTTATAAATGGACTAAGGACGTTTGTGATCAATTTTCTCATAGATTTATTTTTATCTTTTGGTTATATTTGTGTAATGGTTTCACACTTACAATAATTGATAGCCAGTGAACGAAGATACAGATATCTAAACTCGTTATTTCCGTGGTATAATAAGAAGGTATCTAACAGTTTTAAACATGGAACAATCTGTTCGTTTCTTTTTAACCATAGGCAACTTTTCGATAAAATCATTCTTTGCCGACTTGAGAGTTATAAATTGTTGAACATCAAAGGTTCTGCTGAAGAATATCTGAGACGCCTTTTCCCAACTTTAATTCAACTTTGGCCTGATGGTTGGATTACTAATGCGTAAGTATCTATCATTTTTAATCATTTTTTTCACACCACTGAGTTAGTGGGTTCGTGAATATGCCATATGTTTCCGAATCTTAAACACTGTCAATTTCAAAGTTTATCAGTTAGTCTGATCCACGTGGGCTTCGTGGTTCTAGCTCTCAGTACTTTAAAAACAGTTATTGGGGTTACTGAATTATTCATAACTCATTACGCGTTACAATAAAGGAGGTAATTTCGCTTTCTCAAAAAGAATATTCGACATTGTACTTCTCATATTTCTCGCGTGTTCACTAATTCATTTTCATTTGGAAAAATGAGACTATGAGTTACTGAACAAACGGAATTCACTTTTGTTTGTGACTTCTTTGTTCAGTTACAAATAGCTCAACATTTACATGTGAATATTAACGTAAGGATGTACATTTATTATTAAACAGAGCTAAAATAATAAACCATTCAAACCAGGTTAACGACAACTCAATTTACAGCTATTATTCTTTACCTTTATTGTCACTATTGGTTTACATACATTCTCATTCATACTAGTCTTTTCCTTGCTATGATTTTCCATTTTTTTGCTATTAGATGTAGTTTATTTATTTGAACACATAAATACTAGTACAAGGGGACACCAGGTATATATGCGCCACACCAAAAATCGTCATTTCATTTTAATCGTTTGAGGGCTATAATACTGCTCGGGTGCCCAGACCGAAACAGGTGGTTTTCTTAGGGGGCCACATCCCTAGCCTTCGACCTAAAGGTCTGACCCACAAGGCAGTGGAGCATCGTGAAGAAATGCAGTCCCATGGTAGCCGGTGACCAACGATTGATTCATACGCCATTTGTTCCTTCAGGACACTGGAGCCCATGTGCACCATTGGTTTGGAATCAGGGTCCCATAGGTGGACCCTCCGTTTCCACCAACCCAGTTAAAGCGCCTGAAATTTGCTTTTCGTCCTCTCGATTTCGTAAGCAACACCCCCATCACGAGAAGGAAGTAATATGGACTGATGAACTGTTTTATATTCTAAGTTATTTCTGTCCGACTATCTCATCACTCCTGCTTCTTCTATGATGCATATTTATTCACTAACTTACTAAGTTTTTTCTTTGAGGTGTGATTACACATTACCGACTTACATTCTTACCACTTGATTACATAAATGGAAGGAACTTTATTGATTTTAAATTTGTGATCTAGTGATACTAAAAGAAAGTTATTTTTATAAAACCACAGTGATTAAAACTCAATAACTCTAAAATTCTGCTGAATTGTCGAGTCCGAGCTATACCAGGTGATACTTCCCTGAAGTTGTCTTCCATATACTAGGCTCCCAACTATTTTAAAAGTGGATTAAAGTTCGTACAATCGTGATTCTGTGGTTAGTAGAAAAATATCTAGTTAGTTGAATTGAATTCCTACAAACTCTACTTTAGCTGTTGTAATAATAAACTTTCAGTAACTAGGCTGCGATTCTGCTGCAATCAATTTCGAAAGTGGGACTAACATCTCAATCGCCTATACAAAAGGTGTGATTTGAACTGTTGTATGGAAATGTATATTTGGCCACTGAGTTGTGACTATGTTTTTTCTACATACGATTCAAGCTCTCAAGTAATAACTAGGTGATTCCAGGAACTTTCATGTTAAATATCTATGTACAGAATAGCGACACGCTCGTTTTTTATTTTCATCTTCCAAGTACAAGATGTATATTCGTAAGCGCAAAATGTTCATAAATTTTAAATGTTATGCTAGTAAATCCCGTTTTTAATCCTGATGAAAATATTTCAGTTTCATGCTTTATTTTCAAAACTCCGACCCTCATATATATATATATATATATATATATATATATATATATATATATATATATATATATATATATATATATTCACATCCTTTTGTTTTTTTTAGCGCATTATGGCGTACTGGTTTACCAATCTTCCAAAAGTTTTGCAGCGATAAGTAAGTCGCATTTTTTCTAAACGAATGTAAATATTTCGTTTTCCTATCATCCAGTATATAGAAATAAAAAAGGTTGATTGGTGTCTGGAAAGTTATTCGGTGCAAACTGTTCATAGTAAAAGATAAAAAACATTCGAATGATTCGTTATATATAGATATATAGATTCGTTAAATATATAGATTCGTTAAATAAAAATATTGACGATAGCACCACCTATGCCAAGATTTCTAGTACTACTTAGCTGTTTATAATAGATTCAGTGGGTTAGATTTTAGCTTAACAACTATGTAGTGGATAACTTTAACTATGTTATTTTACACTGATTGACTCTAAGTAGTAGTGACTTATCATGTTTGTCTAGTTCTTAGTGCTGAGAGAACTTTGTTGATAACGTAGCAGTATGACTCTGTTTTCAATCCCATGGCGAGCATCAGTTTCGCCATGATTGCAAATACACCTTGATGACAAGTGCCAAATAATATGAAATCTAGTTCCGAAGTTCTCTGCTGATGGTGTCCAACCACTTAATACTATGTGATCTTATTAGTGGTCCATTTAAAATTACTGAATATTGACATATTCTATGGAATTCATAATTTTATTTTGTTTGTGATGGCGTTTTTGTCTATCTATAAATCTTGTAGGATGTCTAATGTTCCATCTAATTTTTTTCAGTTTATTAAGCAGCTTAACGTAAGTAGAGGCAGCCAATATATTGACGTGGAACTATTTTTTTCATTACTGGCGGATCTCACCAGAATATTTGTTAAAGATTAAAGACTTACATATGGCTTTTTAGACAATGTTACAATTATTTACAGATTTCCATTTTCCATTGTACTCCAGTCATTCATGGTTGGTAATTAATGGTTTGGTCATTTTTGAACCATCCTATCATGAAAAAATCCATTTTGATGATGGTTTTGTTCAAAATTAGTCTAACAAATGTACTTGAAAGAATATCTTACATAGTAGCTGTTTGTTTTTGTTTGCTTTTATAATTTATGGCGGTGTCCGATTTTCCTCATGTATAACAAAGTTATTTTAATTACTATTTTTTACAATGAATAAAATACTTTTTATTTCTTCTTAGTGGTTTGAGTAACAACAATTCAGCATCTCAATCGCTTACACGACCTACGAACAACAACAACAACCACAATAGTTCTACGCATATAAGTAATGGAAGAAATAACAATCCGCCTTCTTCTGCAAATACAACACCTCTTCGTGACTCTAATGCTCTGTCACAGCAAAACTCACCTATCGTCATCATACCCCATATTTCTTCGAATATTTCGGTTTCAACTGTCTCCAAAACAGTTCCCAAGGTACCCGATCATGTAGTATCAAACAGTAGTCCACGTACAAGTTTACCGGTTGTTTCCAGTCCTAAATCTAGCCCTCATTTAGTTCCTGTCACAAGACACTGTCAATCGCTTTCTACAGCTCACTCACCCACACAACAAATTAATCGCCCCAATTTTCGAATTACCCCATCTTCAGTTGCTCAAAGTTCAATTAATTCGAAAACTGTAAATACTAAGACTCCAGTAACTGTTTGTGTGGATACTGTAACTTCTCGCTTCTCGTATGTCGTTCAATCAACCACAGCATCTATATCTCCAAATTCACTAGTAGTTCCTGTGGCAACCTCAACATCTCAAAATTCACACTTAAATCGAACACCTGTTTTACAGAATGAAGCTATTATAGGTCGAACGGCTATTCCGGGTGTACCTCTGCGTCTTGTTTCATCCAGTTCTTCTAATCCTGCAACCACCATTTTAGTGTCCAAGGCGGTACAGCTTAACTCAGAACAGGGCAAATCTACAGTGATCAATCCAGTAGCTATGAAAAGGTATATTTTATTAAATGCATCAGTTAATTTAATCATATCGCACACCAGTTTTGGTAAAGTAAATCGTTGAGAATGTTATTTATAGTCGTCATATGAAACTCAGATAAAATAATACTTATGTACACCAATCTTTGACATAGAATCCAGCACAGTTGTCCGTTTGTTCAAGTCACCATGTCACATAGGTACATCAAGAAAGGGAATCAACACGATAAGAAGTAGATAAGAGGAAATAATGTAAACTATAATAGATTTAAACATAGAGAATATAATGCAGTGATGTATTTTATAGCGTGGAACTTGTCCTACGTTTATACCTTCCACTTAGTTAGGTAATAAACAAAGTAATCTCATAGCCAACAAATTACCTTTTTGAGATGGATCCTTTGACTGAATCGGTGGTCAGTGCTGCTGATAAAAGAGTTTGTTTCGTTTGATAGTTGATTTCAAGTTGTTAAGTGTTTCAAAAAACTGGTCTTTTAATGGATTTTATTCAGCATATTACCAAAGTTATTTCACCAGTGATACCCCTCAGGCATCACTGGCATGCAGTGGAATAACTTAATAAACGGTTTTGTAGTGATATGTAGTAGTGAAATTAAAATATGATTGGCACTTCGCCAACTGACTATTAAATGTGTGATTTCCTTTCCTCTTATTGTTTCTACATCGAACTCACCAAGTGTGACTGCTCGGTACTGTTGAATAAAGTATTATCTAGTGTTGATCTGATTTTCTATTCTGAGTCATGAATCCAGGATATGATGTTACGTGACTAGTCTCATTATCGTATTGACGTATTATCGTGGTATAACTGAGAGAAAAATATTTTAAACCATCCGTTATATCAGTAGTTTATTTGGTGTTTATCGCAGTATAAGACGTAATGTTCTGACACGAATTGACAAACGTGTTTATTACTGTTTCAGACAATCTTATCCTCACTGTCAATCTTCACAACAAGCTCCCACTACTCAAATAAAGGTTAATGATCTTGGAAAGTCAATGATTTCTGTTAGTGATGGTTTCCCGAAACCGTGTGCACCAAACGTCCCATCGAATTTCCCCCATGATTCAAATAAGTTTAACCAGCAAATTGCCCATCAGTCTGCAGCTGTCGCTCTATCTAGCCAACAGATTGACCAACTACAACATCGCGCATTGTCTAGTACTGGCAGAGTGGGATTGAATTTAAATCCGACACTAGGTGCGGCATCAGCTCTCCTCTTTCCCCCACAACCTCCTCCTGCTCATCAATCTAAATACCAGAGCTTGTCTTCACAGAAAGAGGATTCTAGAGAAAATATTATTGGGAGCATACCTTCTGCTCATTCTAGTAACAACCAGAAATTATGATAAAACTCTTGTGTCAGCTTGTGAATTTATTATGTAAACATTCAGGCGAGTTGTTTGAAAAACGTCTTATTTTGAATTGGTTTACTTTATTTGTTGTGACAGTTATTGTAATTCCGATGTTCTTGGTACCGAATAGAATTTCAATCAACTTAGCAATTACTGACAATTTTTGTGGTATCCGCTAATAGATTTATTACTTTAGCAATCTGTGGATTTGAGTATTATCGTGTTTTTTTAAAACTGTGATGCTAATTTAGTCAAAGTCGTATATTTGTGTGAATTGCGATTCAAAAACCATGATCTTTTACAGAGGTCTCTGACAATAAGGACTTCTATCGTTCTAATGATAATGAATGTTTTTGCGATGACATTTGCAGACTCTCAAAGACCAAAGAAGTAATAATTTAATGACACTTCAATCAATACTAAAGAGTTTATATGAAAAAAAAACAATCAAATGTTTCTGCACGAGAGCTTTTCTATTTTGAGAAGAAACAATTGTATTTAAAAACAGCAATCATAGACAATTTTGAATGTAACCTTAGGGACTTTCCAGAAATTTTTCTAGACATTACTACCATTAAGACCAGTCGATGAAAAAAACTCACTTTTGTGGAGACAGTTTTGTCACAACTGACCTCCATTAACTGGTGTTAAATGTGTTTGTCGTGTTACGTACAGAAATGTCCTCCAAGAGTATCAAATCGAATATATATATATATATCCACCACATACTATAATTAGACAGTATAATTGAGTATCATTCGCTGCATAGCTCATGATAAGAGCTTTACATCGTCTTGCGGCGTAAAGTATTTCGGATTATTTTATATTTCTTTTGTTAACTTACGGTGAATTCCAGTAACAAGCTTTCTGTTAACTTTGTTTTTCAGATGAATCCTGTTTTCAATTTTATTGATGACTAAATATGTCTGCCCCTTTGTATGTATTGATTAATTGGGACATATGCATTTATATTGGACATTTTAGATTAATTATTACTACTTCCATCATAGTTATCATTGCAGCGGTTCTTATCGTTTTCTTTTCCAATTGTTCGACGTTTCTCACCTAATCCATCAATCATTCGTTAAATTGATTTCATTTGAACTTTTCTTTTTCACCGTGTGTATCGTAATTTCTTTCAAGCGTTTCTTATTCTGAATGTACTATATGTATGGATTCTCCTAACTCTGCTATTTCTTTTTTCAGCAAAATGCTTTCTAGGTTAATAATCGAACAATCTCTATGTTTTCTCATTGACATTAGGGTCGATACTTTGTTCGCTTCCTATATTTTAAAATGTTCTCTTCCGTCTTCTAACTTATAATGAAATCCAAAGTAATTATTTTCTTACTGTATCTCTTTTTAATGTCTCGTTCAAAAAACATGCTATTATTACTTATCAGTGTGTAAATCGTTTGGCATGGCTAAATAAGTTTATACACATCTGTAGCTAATAAAATCCTGTAACCTGAAATATATATATAATTGTAATTACAATTACTTAGTATTGCCGTTATGACAATTTGGGTAAACTTATTAAATGTTTTTATTCATATCATTTCTACGTCTTGTAGAGTGTGCATAAAAAGCAAATTGTTGATGGATTAGTGAGTTTTTCTTTTATCTAATATCACCTAAGTAAAATAAATAATGAAATCCAGTGTGGTAAATAGATTAGGTCTAATTTTCATTGAACACTACAAATTATGCAGTGGGGGTAATCAAATGACTGGGGTCCGTAAACACCTCATTTAAATCCGCAGTGTTGAAAAGATCTGCGACAGCGGTGTTAAAATCTTTGATTAGACTTATTCTTAGATCGCTAGAAAGTTTGTATGTCTAAATAGTTTTGTGAATCCTGATGAATTTTTCGGGTACATATATCTATCTGAAGGTCTATTCAAATTTTCGCATCTTTGGAAACTAAGTGGCTCAGAGGTTTTAACCGATAAGTATTTCCATCCACCTAATTGCAAGTAAAGATGTTTTTATACTTCGTGCCGACGACGCAGAATTGTATATCTTAGTAGAATTGGAATAAAAAGAGTCAAGGGACTGACAGTGTGTGAAGTAGTTTACTCTCACTTACTTGACAAGAATTTAGGAACACACTTCATTTGTTTGACCAGCCATTTGCTACTGTTGAAGATCACGTAGATACGTTCAGCTCAAAAACTTGATTGAAAACCTCCCTTGAATGATGCACAGTTCACTGCGTACTACATAATACCTCATATTGTTTAAATGTAGATATATGTAGAAAAATTTTTATTCATTGTAACTATTTTTTTCAAAGGTGTAGCTCTTCTAGAGTTACTGCCGGTTCGAAGCCCGGGTAAAGGAGGAGGGTTCGGCATGGGGTTAGCGACCCCATCCCATAGAAAATCAACCCGCTAACCAGATTTATTTTTGCAGCTTGAGCCTGAACTCTTACTAATCATGTTCCTATCAGCTATGAATGCAGTGTATAATTTCAAGAAGTGCTCATTTAGGAGCATCCACCTAAATTCCGTTCATTCCATGCTGTGCACCGCATTAATCTTGAGCTTGATCATAAATAAATTAATCCTATTTGACGAGTTCCTCTTCATTACTGTATTCTTGGGACATCTCAAAAGTTGTATGTGGCCGTGGTGTGAATCAGTTACCTGAAGAAAAATCTTACAAGTATCCGATCGACACTCACTGTATAATGATACACAAGCCACTCAAATCATTTGGGGACTAGCGTCCGTAAGTAGGATATTTGCTTAGTACCTTCAAGATCCACACTTTCACAAAGCTGACAATAGCTTACGTACCGAACTGTTATGGTGGACCTTTTTAATTAGTCGAAATGTTCATACATTTTAGTAGCTTTGTGGGTTGAGATCGATATGCCTGAGTCAAAGTCACAGCAACGTCTCGTAACCTAAAGCATCTGTGGCATTGTTGCTGTAAAAATTAGAATATACCAAGCCTTGGGGAAAGCAGTCCTACTACATAACTCTGATGCCTAGTTTAGGTGAGGATGTTCGGTCACCGTTGTCTCTTAAAGATTTCTCACATATGATGGCAGCACTCTAACTAATGTCGAGGTCTGAGTGTCTTCAAACGCATTGACGATAATTAATTTGGTGTTGTAATCTTGAAACGCTGGAAATTTCACACAGCACATTAGCCTACGCTGAGTCTAGGTGGAGAAAGCAAATATACTGAGATTATAAAGTCACTTTGTGAAGTAAAATATAGCTACATAGGATCGGCCAGTGATTTTACCGCGTAGAAAATAAAACAACAATTAGTGTTGTGTGAGGAGGGCACTGATATGTCTTGATGATTGAACGCTATACTCGGATCCTCAGCTAATCTTGTATACCCAAGCTAGAACTACCCAGCGACTTGAACACGAGAGAAAAGGCACAAAATATGCGGGAAGCACTTTACCCCAAAAGTTCATTTATGTACAGAAAATATAGGGTTTTTATAGTATTTTAGAAGTCCTTGGGTTTTCCCAAACATTCTAGAATACTACTAAACATAGTAGCAGTGTAGTAATCAGCCAATCAGAACCTCTACGTGTGTCTTTTCATTTTCGTGATATTCCCAGCAAAACTTCTGATCAAACGCTGATAGGATGAAAGGCTTCTTAATGTTTCCTGAGCTTGTCATTTCTATTGCGAGTAATTTGCAGGATCATCCCAATAGGCACTGCACTGCAAATTGACCGAAGTTGTGAAATTAGACTCAATGATTTCACGCATGTAACAAGAAAAGAATTTTCTTTATATTTGTATAGCTATAACTTACGAGTATTGTGCCTTAGCATTGAAAGATTTTGCCAGTAAATCATCCGGTTGTGAATGATTAAGATAATGTTAGCGGGACATATATTAGAATAATGCATGTTCCATGCACGATTGTGTTGGTGTACGCTGATTGGCTAATTCTTATTCAGTCAGCGCTAGTCGATACTTGGAGAAGACACTAGAATCTTCTCATGTAAAAACTATAAGTATTTCTTACTGTGCTTCTTACAACATTTACCCCTTGTTATTCGGAATATAATTTCTTTCCTCTTCAACCATGTTCTGATTTGGGGACTTGCAGAGTGGATTAGTGTCAAAGAATATTAAACAATAGGAATAGCTGGGTTGTAATAAGAAAAATTATAACAGATAATAATCCCGGAAGTTATTTCATCAAGTATCAAAAGAAGCCCATTTCAACAAATTATAGACCGCCTTTGAATTTATTTGAAAGGCAGTAGTTTCATTTTGTTCTTTGTTACGAAGACAAACGTGTATTTAAGAAAACACGGCTGTACGTCTGGTTAGCTGCCACATTTTGAACATTATAGAGACAATGCTGCTTCAGCCAGACCAACCCTTAATATTCACATAATTACGAAGTTTACAGTTTTCACCTTACTAGAGTGCTAATTATAAACCTTTGAAATAAAAAAGTTTGAACATCCATGACAAAATTGTTTTTAGGGTTTCGTGTTAATTATTTTTGTCTTTGTAGAAATCGCATGGTAAAAATACTAGGTCTCAAGTAGTGGTCAGTAATATGCAGTAGTTCTTAGTATCGATCGAAACTTACCACGTAATTGACTAGGCTAAGTTGTATAACCTACCGGCATAATACTGAGGAAAATGGCAATGAGACATTAACACGTTAGTACCGAAAAATGTAGGAAGCACGAGAACCTAATGCTAGTGGTATATTTATGACAATTTAGAATGAAAAAGTTATGGGGTAAATTTAAAGATCACCTCATAATTTAGTATTACTGCGATACATCGGTAGCAGAGGTGTGTATATGTGTACACACATTTCGCAAGTGGGATGTTAGAAAAAAGGATTTTGGCATCACTCAATCATCATATTCAATTAATTTCCAGTAGAACTACGATTAAAATTTAGACCTAATCAATCTAACTGTTAATGTATTCTTCCATTTTTCCTATCATAAAAGTGATTTCAAATGACATTTTCACACATGTTTTATTGAATGTGTTTTAGTCAGTTATCATATTAAATAGCTGTCACTTGTCTAAATTATACTCCACTACGTTAAACCTATGAGCAGGTATTATTCATTCACATCTATTAAGAGAAACCTCCTTAACAAGTTACATTCCAGTTTAGGTTACCATTGGAACTTAATGCACACAATACAGATTATTTGAACTAGACATGTTTTCAATTAAAAATATATGATTAGTGGCTTCAGCATTTTATAGAAATACGTCACTGTAGTATTAGAATTTACTTCAGTATACAATCGATGATTGCCTGCTACACAGAGGGTAATGTGATCATAAATAATCTACATAGGTTTATCTTATACAATCAAACGGAACATAAAATCTTGTGGGAATCAGTCCCCAGAGTTCGACATGTAAAGTAACTATTCGAATATATATTTTGAACTGTTGACCAAAGTTTCAAGTAATTCATTATTTGGTGGTAATGAGATCTACCGCATGTATTTGTTTTATTTGTTACTCGTCAGCTAGATGTATTTTCACTCGGGTGTGTTTATGTGCCAACTTGAAATGTGGCTTAACATTTATTATTGGGAACATGAAATCGGGTGTAAAACGTTTGCCGGATTTCTATGGTTGCCGAAATTTTTGTGAAGACATAATTATTATAATAGTTGACGCATCTATTTGAACCTCATATGACATTAGTGGTTAGTTGATTCGGTTCAGTGAGTCAGAACCTAAGACCTAACATTTTCATTACTAAAGTCCTTCCTAATTCATAACTCCGCCTGTGCTCTTCTAGAGTTACTGCCGGTCCCAAGCCCGGGTAAAGGAGGAGGGTTCGGCATGGGGTTAGCGACCCCATCCCGTAGATAAAAATAACTCGTTAAAAAAACGTTAACCAGAAAAAATAATTCAAACCATTTAAACTCTGCCCTGGGAGTTGAAGGAATAATTATGACGCCTCATGATGAAAACTGAAATTTTTCGGAAGTCACGGGGCCGATGCACCTTCTAACAACCAGAGCAACACTCTTTATAAGTACATGGAACGTTCGGACAATGTGGGAGACACGGAAGACCAGTCAAATAGCAATGGAAATGAAGAGATACAAATTGGCAGTACTCGGAATCAGCGAAACTCATTGGACACAAGCTGGACAACAAAGGCTAGGTACGGGAGAGATGCTGCTTTACTCTGGTCACGAGGAGGAAAATGCTCCACACACTCAGGGAGTTGCTCTGGTGATGTTCAGAGAAGCACGAAACGCACTCATAGGATGGGAATCTCATGGATCCAGAATCATCAAAGCATCATTCAATACAAAGAAGGAGGGGATCACAATGAATGTTATCCACCCACTAAAGATAGTAACGACGACGATAAAAATCAGTTCTGTGAGAGGCTGCAATCAATCATAGCGGAGTGCCCAGCAAAGGACCTGACTATCATGATGGGAGATCTAAATGCTAAGGTCGATGTGGACAACACCAGATATGGAGATATAATGGGACGACATGGACTAGGAGAGAGCAATGAAAATGAGGAGATTTGCAAATCTATGTGCACTCAACGAATTGGTTGTAGGCGGTATAATGTTTCCACACAAACGCACACACAAAGCTACATGGATCTCACCGGACAACGCCACAGAGAACCAGATAGATCATATTTGTATCAACAAAAAATTCCGAAGGACAATGGAAGATGTGAGAACCAGGAGAGGAGCTGACATAGCTTCAGATCACCACCTGACATCGAAGCAGCACACACTGACATTCCTATAGATGTCACTCAACCAACAATCGAAGAAGTCAAGATGGCCATCAGACAAATCAAAAGCGGGAAAGTGGCAGGACATGACAATATACCATCTGAAGCGCTGAAGTCAGACATTGAAGTAACTGCAAACGTCTTTACCTTCTATTCAAGAAGATTCGGGAGGAAGAACAAGTGCCATAGACAGACTGGAAAGAAGGATACCTCATTAAGATACCAAAGAAATGAGATCTGAGCAAATATGAGAACAACAGAGGCGTCAGTTTGTTGTCAGTACCAGGAGAAGTTTTCAACAGGTTATTGCTCAACTGCATGAAAGACACAGTAGGCGCCCAACTTCGAGATCAATTGATGGGGATATGGAGATTGAGTAAGTGGGAAGTTAGGGACAGACTCTAACAGAGGTCTGAAAATGTGATTCGAAAAGCTCTATTACTCGATCATTATAGTTAATAATTTATACAGTAAAGTGTTGACACTTTAGAGTGACTCAGTTTTGCCACAAAGTCCCCTATCACTTAGTCATCATTGTTGAAACTTGTTGCTTCAGATCATATGCGATATTTGCGAATAAATCATTTTAAAAAGTGTGAATAACATAGCCATATTATTTATAGTCGTTATAGATATTAGATTAATTTTATTAATGGACTATCCCTCTAATTAGTTAAATTTCTCGACTACGCATAAAGGCCTGAACATCAAGTAAAATAGATTTATGGACACAAGCGGAAAATGATTGTAACAGAAAAAAAAGTTTGTGTGGAAAAGATTATAATTTACAAAATAATTCACATAGCTGAAATACAATGGTTTAATCGACTGACCATAACTTGAAGAATATGCTCCAATCTTGGATTGGTTTTACACGAGACGGACTACAATATAATATTAAAAGAAAATCCTATTACAATGAATTATATCATAGATATTAGCAACTGATTACAATAATCGTGATGTACACAGTCGCCGAACAACAAGTCTGAAGATCGGCAAGAATACTATTGTTTTTCGTCGAAAAACCACGTAATATACATAACTTGATGTTAGAGGTACTATTCGTAACGTCTCCAGAGACTTTATCAAACAACATAGGCTTGAATCTTATACGAAGCATATGTTGAAGATAAATGTTATTGACCAGTTAGTTAATTATCAGATCAATAACAATTTCCTTCACAGATATTTCTTAATTTGAAGACGTTCTATTATGAGAGAAGAGCTGTACAAATGACCAAGAAGCATATTATTTTTTTGGTAATAATTATTGCGAATCAAATTTGACACTGAAATATGCCGTAATGAGGAGCGAAATGAATGTCAAAGCATAAAGAGAAATCTATACTTGTTTAAGAAGACTAAAGAGATACGTAAAAGTCAGTTTTCGTCACATATTAATATCAAGTGGAAAGCCGCTGGAAACGAGGGAGCACAGGACGAATATTCCGTGTAAGTATGAACTTCACGGCGATCTAAACCCACGACCCCACCGTAGATAGGATCCAAAACCTTTAGCTCTCATGGTGAATACGTTATCTGTAAACCATTAAGTCAAATGGTTCTTGTGTGTATTCACTATTGAAGAACCCAATAATAGAACGAGATAGTTACCTAGTGTTTTCTGGGTTTCAATGTTTCCTAGTTAGTACTGATTTGCGGCAGAAACCAATTACATCCATTTTAACAATATCCTATATATTAATTGTCACTGATATTCATATTTCAATTTCTTACCATTACTGATGACTTCAAGCTTGAAAGAACTAAAAGTGAGCAGTAGGTACATAGTTTTCAAATAAAAAAACCGTTTTAGTGCTTTCACTATCACTAATTTTTTTCGGATAACTCTTCAATTCACATTGATATATGAAAGAAAATCATCTATTAAATAATTGTACATAATCAGTTGAATGACTAAATATCACTAAGATGAAAACTTTTTAAAGAACAAAATGAAAAGTTATAACACTTTCTGATAAGCAAACCTAAAGCGAAAACATTTAGGTGTTACTAGTCAGTAAAAATACCCAACAGTTATTCTAAAGTGGAAATTAAATACAACAGCTGAAAATGATGGGACAATCAGGTTTACATACATTCCATGGTCGTCCAGTTTCAAATGACTCGTGATCTCAACTATTAAAATGTAATATAATCATTATGAAATGCAAAGATGATTTGCACTGATACCACCAAGTGTGAAGTGATGAACATGTATCAATATTGCTTTAATTTTTAAACCCCATTTAAGCCAAGTTAATGTTTTTTAACTAATCGCACTAAGTATCCTACGAAAAGTGTAGGTTAGTAAACGATAGATTGATGGTTTTCAATAAGTAAATCGTTTAACTAACGCAATACAACGTATGGTGAACCGTGAAATATATTACAGCGTCAAGAGATGACGAGAATAAGATTACAAAACAAATGAGAAAATTATTTCTTACTAAATCGCATAGATTCACTTCAGCGACATGAGAATCAACATGTACTATAACATGATTAGCATCAGGCTTAATTATCTCTTCTTCTAAACAGTCAATACCGAATGCATCTTGAAGTGCTACTTCGAGGGCAGATCGAAATTGTTCTTTGTTCGGTTCAATAAGATGAGGTAAGCCTAAGTGTAGATAAAGAAAAAAAATGGAAGATATGCTTTTCGTTGAAAAAAGAACGGAACATTTGAAAATTTGCACAGTTCTTTTCACAACAATAAATACATAAGTTAACGAAACCACATCATTTTAAAAATTGATCTGCAATTAGTAAATAATAAGATAATCATTTAACAGGTATATCTTAACAATTCATATTAAGGGTTATGTGTTAGGATTAATATTAGGAGCATGAGAGCAGGAGGATACTCTTTATTCACACAAATATCCTTGACTATGAATTGAAACACGTCAAGTACTCTTCAATATGATCTGCAGCAGGAGCACGCATTTCTTGTAGCTTCACAATCTGGTCGCACAAAAGACATTATTATCAATTTTAGGAACTAGATATAGGACCATTTTACCCAGTCCCTAATAAGATACACACTCAAAAGACTCCATCCTAGATGTGACTAGTTCATCAGTATAGTATACTTTTAACCCACTAATTATCTAAATAGAGTAAGAAAATTCTCGGAATGTTCAAAGATATAACATAAATTTATGGCTATATGTTTCTTTGATTTGGATAACTACGAGCTTTTTGAAAGCGGTTTACTGTGGAGTGATAATTGACAGTATTAAACTTTTAGCAAAATGAGAAAATGTTTCTTCTCAGACGTAAATCGTTTTCTCAGTTTCTCGATTTCAGTCTCGTTTCTACTACTCATTCGTCTGTTAAGTAAATAGTCGATAAGAAATCCAATATAAACATGAAATTTACTTGATTTCTTTTAAAATCAATGACTTTAACATTGAATTATGTACGCCACCAGTTAAAGTAAACCTCATTACACAACATCGGGAGATTATACTATTAGTCCGATGTACCAAAAAGCCCAAAAGAAATAGTAACAATACTCACCTCTGGGCGGCATTCCTTGCATAGCAGCACGTAAAATAACATTCTGTACAGCGTCCGCATACATGTCACTTGTAGGATTGGACTGCCACTGAGATCGAGATGTAAAGGATGAATATTCATGATTAAACACAAAGTACTACTACGAAATTCTTTTTACAAAAAACTAAAGTAAACATTTATGCACAGAGTACCTAAGGATCTTATTATGGGAGGTTCGATTGATGTAATAAATTGAATCTTACTTTTAAAACTGATCTGTTTTTCCTGATGGTTGAGGAGAAGACATGAAAATTTAAATCTGCCAAGTTTTAAATTTACACCATTCGTGATTTTAATAGACACTAAATGGTTCATATTTACATCCGATGGATAAATAAATGAATATTTAGGAACAAATATTTAAATAATAGCCTAACTGGATTCTAGGGTTTGTTAACAAACCTTCTGGTTATTCGTATAGAAGATAAACTAGAAGCATACTGTGTCACATGCTTAGAAATTCGAGTTTCTGTTTTGACTACGAATTAATCACGTGTTTGATGACCCCCCAAGTTCGATAAGTTATAACTGGTACTCCCCTAATTCAGTAAATTCAAACAGTCTGGACATTCGATTCAGAATCAGATATTGTAACAGAGTATATTAACGCAATATCAAAGTCGACAAAGGGATTCATTTACAATGAAAAATAGTCTGCTATATTTAATAAACTCGAGTGTGTCTATCTTCAATCTCTGACAAACTGTAACTCACTTAGACTATATATATGTATATATATATAAAAACTTACTTCCATAGTTAACTGTTGTGGTCGCCAAGTAATATTAATTGCATCAAATACACGATATTGTACATTATCTGATTTTTGAGATACCGTATCTACGCTACCAGCAAGTAAAGCCAGATGGAATTTCAAAAGATTAGCACTACCAGTAAATGGAATAGAAATGACTTGGTTTACTACAGTTGTAGCTAGTTCAGTGTATGCTAAGAAAAAGTAGGGAAAATCGTGACATATAGTAGAAACGGAAAGATACACTATTTCTTTAACATAATCACTAATTTGTGTTAAATATAATTTTAAAAAATGCAAGTTAAGCGAATAAGTATTCCTTTCCAATCCAATAATTAAGACATTTACTCATGTGTCCAACTACATCTCAAAAAACCGTATAAAAACTACTGTACTAGGTTTGAAGCTACGTTTTTCAAATGGGAGTTACTAGCAATATTTGGCTGTCTAGATTAGATTATACATACTGAGGCTTAAACCTCAAGGTCAAGTATGTTAATTAATGAACCATATCCAAAGTATGATACATCAACATTAACTCAAGGCAAACAGAAAATATTATCTGTTGATAGTTATTTGAAGGGAAGTGGTAAATACCTCTTGATACTATCAGTACGGTGTGCATCAAAGCTGTATAGGCTTTCGAGATGCGTTCCAATTTTTCACATTCGCTTATCAACACAGAAACAATACGAAACTACTTACTCGGTAATTCACCAGGTGTTAAAATATGATATGCGAAATTTTTCTTTACAAGTACTCCTGAAATAGTTTGACCTTCTTTAGGAGCACTATGAGCAAGACTGCCCAAAATTTTAGCAACTTTCTCACCACGAAAACGTAGATTAACCGGGACACAATTTTTAGGTGTAAATATTTCCAGTCTACATGTTTCATCATCTTCATATTCCCTTTGTAAAGCCCCACATAACCGTAACATTTCGTTTTGTTCGCCGTGTACTAATACCTAAAAGAGAAAATTTTGAGACATTGAGATAAAGAAACGACCAGTGCAATACAGGGCCTAGGGGAACACTGCATTACTTAAATCTTCACGTTTTAAACTACTACACAAAAGTAAGACAAAAAACAACGGTGAAAAATAAACATAAAAATGAAAAAAGGGATTTGCCATACATTTCGATAAACTAGAAAAGATTCATGACTTCTACTGCGAATTATACCTATTTTGTGAACAATATTAGTGTCAGCTGGTTTCCTCAGTTTTTGTAAGGGAATGAGGTTTGAATCCGAAGTTGGAAAAAATGAGTACATCAAACACCAACTGACAACTCCACATTAAACTGACAAAGAATGTATTTAGTACATACAGAAACATACAAAGTTAATGGATTTAAGTTGGCGTTGTAGACGTGGAGATATGTCAATTACGATTTTAAATCATTTGTTTCAATGGTTCGAAAGTCCTCACTAACTAAACTATAAAATTTAAACAAATATCTATTAGCCATCTAGATGAAAATACAACGAAAAACGACTCTTCTTATCCAAAATATATCTATATATTTTTGAAATTTTATCACTCCGCGTAAAACCCACTAGGATATTAACCTTACTGTAAAGTGTTATTAATTTACTAATTATATAAAGAAGGAGAATTTAACTAAGTTCACAGTTGTGCAACTGACTCTGAAACGCGTCAGTAACCAAAGTCAGATTAATCAGAACGGTCTCAAAACTGAAACTTGATAACCATATATTTAATTTTCTAACATTGTGATAGTTAGAAATAATGTTAAAGGTTATTATCATTTGTCAAAAATATCAAGCAGTAAGTTTATCACTAAGTAAGAAATAGCATAAGGTCATTTAACGACTGACATTAAAATCAGATATAATTTAGGGGTGGGGGAAAGTTGTAAAGATGAGATACTTGCACTAACCTATTGCATAACTTACGACATAGCTTGGTTTTAGTTCTCGGATAAATGCACTCGTCTGTTGATAGTCAGTATGAGCAGAGAAACTAATATAATCCACCGAACATTTCAACGGTAACATTTGACCTGACATTGTCGGCACTTCAGTTGGTAGAGATAAAATTTGTTTTGCAAGAGTACCCTCAACACAATAGCCTGCAATAATTACTCCATTACGTTTGTCTGTGCACCAGTTCTCAAACAGCTCTCGACTAAGACCAGACTGCATCATTCCGGGACTGGCCATAACCACACATGGACCAGAATCATCAAAATGTTCAATACTCTAAAAAGACAAACGTTAATTACAAGATGCTAGAATACTTCTCATCTACCTTTAAATTCGATATGTGTCGGAAACAGAATGGATTGTTGTTCGCTAGTTGGTTGCGAATTCGTTCGTTCATGGCATAAATATATGTTTGGTAAACTGCCATACATTTTCGTGCGAGCTGACTGGCGTAATAGATAGGTATGTCGTGCAGTTCTGGATGATTGTCCCAATATTCATCAAGAATCAACATTAATTCTTGGGCTCTGCCAAGTGCAAATGCTGGAATCAAACAGCGTCCTCCACGAGTGACAATATCGTGAACTAAGCTAGTAAACCTAGCTTCCCTTTCTTCTCGTTTGTCATGGATATGGATACCATAAGTAGCTTCGGTTATCAGAACATCTGGACGTATAGGAGGAATTTCAGCACACATTAAATGTCTATCTTCCTGTCGGCTGAAATCTCCAGTGTATAAAATCTAGATGAACTCCATGAAAGTTATCTGTAAAGGAAGACGAACTTTCACACCAGCAATTTCTATTAGGAACATAGCTGCACCTAACACGTGTCCAGCATGATAGGCAGAAAACTTTATCCCGTTAACTTCAAGTTCTTGGTGAAAATCTATGGTATCAATATGGTCTAAGCTAGCTACTATGTCTCGATCACTGTACAATAATTGATCCGGTAGGCCGCCAGAATTACTAACCAGTAGAATATCTTTATTGAATTAACTCACCTGACGCGAACAAAGTCAGCAAGCAAATAACGATAAATAGCCTTCGTTGCATGTGTCATGTAACACTTTGACTTAGCTCCAGTCTTCAAAAGCAAATGTGGGAGCCCTCCACAGTGATCAAGATGAAAGCTATGCATATTGCATTGAGATTAGGTTACTTACTGACTAATCAAAATGAGGTCTGTCGTTTGGATATCTGGGATCGCATCAATGAATGGTAAGCTCTCTCGGTTGCGTAATCCAGGATGTATACCACAATCAAGCTGCGAACATATATTTATAAAAACAATGAAACACCTTACAATTATCTTCTTCCCTTTAAATGTTAACAGTATACATGACCTTCCAACTTCTTGACCAGCCCCACTGAAATGATAAATTAAATGATATAGTAAGGTTTAATGTAATTTACCGGAAGCCTTTCTAAATGAGTCTTATAAATAACAATTGTATTAATCTTATTTCTCACTAATTTTACTTAAATGCTAATGTTAAGGTGAACTAGTAAGTTATTTAGCCTAGAAGTTCGTTAAAAATTTTAGGTAACAGTCATCTAAACATTTTTCCTCTCCTTTCTGAATAAGATTAAAAAAGTAGTGATGCCAATAATTAAGATTCCTCTGAATTGTACTTGACCTCGAGTACCAAGCCCACCCGGAGGCGGCAGACACTTTGCCCCCAAATGCCCTGGTACGGCCGAGAGTGTGGAGAGTCCACTCCCTCTCGAAATGCTCTCAAATGGCCACGCATATATAGCCTCTGCCAAGAAAGTCCTACTCACTGCCTTCTCGTGGCGGGGGTGTTGTTTACGAAATCGAGAGGACGAAAAGCAAATGTTCGGTGCTTTAACCGGGTTGGTGGACAAAGAAAGTTCATCTAGGGGAGTTGGAAAACCCTGATTCCAAACCATTGGTGCACATGGGCTCCAGTATCCTGAGGAAACAAATGGCGTATGAATCAATCGTTGGTCACCGGCTACCATGGGACTGCATCTCCTCACGATGCTCCACCGCCTTGTGGATCAGACCTTTAGGTCAAAGGCTCGAGGTAAGGCCCCCTAAGAAAACCACCTGCTTCAGTTTGGGCACCTGGGCAGTATCACAGCCCTCACATAAATCAAATGAGATTTGTGCGGCGCGTATATATCTGATGTCCCTTCGTACCAATATTTATGGGTTTAAAAATAAGTAACCAAGCCATGCTGTTATGGAAAATTTATAAGTTCCTACTGAGATATGTGGCTCAGACAAGTCAAAACTAGAGAGAACCGTTAAATATCACATAATACATCAAGTGTAGAAGTCATGAGTAGATTACAAGATAAAGTGTAATGACACCAGTAGATATAAAGAGTAGACAAGGTTTATTCAGGTGGCAAATGAATAGCTGGAAATGTCTTGCCCATATTGCTTGTCAACGTGAAGCTAGAGACAATAGACTATACGGTATTAGATTCCAAAGAACGACCTAGACGTTAAAATTTAGTGCGGTAAGTGATTCACTAGGAACGAATGGTGTACATAAAACCTAACTGCCGGTGTTGTATGGGGACTAATCAAATTATCCATATTTTGCATCTAACACATAGCAGATTACAGAATAGCTAATGTGTTCTCAGGTCCTTAACTCTATTTAAAAGCAAACAAAAAGTACTCGGTCTGATTTTTGGGAACATAATTGCATTTTTACACTTCAGCAGAATATTCAAGCTGGTTCATATTAAAATTATAAGATTAGATGAAGTAACAGTGAAATGTACTCTCATAAATTATATGCGAATCGCTACTTGTCTGGATATTATCTTTTACGAAAAACTACTCAATGGGACTGCAAGCCTATGCTGTAGTGAATGATGCACAATTTGTTTACGAAATAACTTCGTTAATGACTTCAAGCTAAAAAAAGACTTTTAGATAAATATCTTGGTTACGGAATAGATCGGACGTTTAGCAGTGATTTAAATGTGAATTTACGGGCAATGATTTATTACCCTCAGGTATTAGGGAGACTGGAATATTAATTTTTACATGTGACTATAAGTCAGACAAACCTTCAAATTTTTTCAAGCCTACAAGGGATATGAAGCAAAAGATTGGGTATGGAGAAGTGAACATATCAAGAACAGTCCCACTGCCAAGCCGATTGAAAGTAAACAGACTTAAAACAGCCATTCGCGTGCTAAAACAATGAAATATCTTTCATTATTGCCATTAGTCCTCACAAGTGGAGCTATCCAATCCACTAAACATAGAAACCTGACACGTTGGTTTGGGTTTTCTGTTCCGAAGTTTTGGACGAAATTGACCAGTTTAAGGACGGTCCCATAAAATAGTTTGACAAATGTAGCGCAAAACTTGAGACGCATCCATTTTTCAGTTGGATTCTGCTAGAATGAATGCTAAGTTTACTTCAAACTTTCAATGATTTTGAGAAAATACCTTTGCTTTCCTCGACGAGATCCCGAAATTTCTACAGAACATCCCTAGGGTTAATACTCAGGGTTACTCGATAATTTGTACAAAAATACGATTATCTAACAACCCCCTCCCTTGTCAAAGCTTCGTTACTTATTAGCTTTCGCTTATAGCGCACGTCTCGTCTAACACGCCCAAACCAAACTAGTTGGTTTTGGAAGTTTACTACGTTTACTATAATGAACATGGTAAACTTCCTTCTGAATAATTTTTGCGTATTATGGTGCAAATGTACACCAGTACAATCGAAAAACTGAGGTATTGGCAACTGCAGTGATTATTAGGATAAGTAATCTGCCGAATGAAGAAACACGTACATTCACAGTCGGCTGTGGTCATACCACATCAGATCTACATAACAATGGGAGAAAAAGCGTAACAGTAGAAGTGGAAACATTATCACTGGCAAAAGAAAAAAATTGGAAGATAGGATGTTAGAAGTACAAGCTTGCAGATCGATAAAGACAACTGAGAAGCTTATGACCTGATGATGGATGCACTGGTATTGGATGTACTTAAGCGATTGAGAAAGTTGCTGAGCTATATCATTTGAAGTCCTTAATTGCTGGTCACGGGAATCATGTGAACACTAGTTCGGCATCCTGCATAAATTAGGTCATAATTACAGTAGTAAGTGCATTGTTGATTAAACTGGCAGACTTTTAGAGAAACACAAACTACGCGGTAATGAGCATGTGATTGAAATACTTACAGAGGCATAATCGTTAACTTATCACTTTCTTCATAAGTGTCTCCCAGATCCATAATGTAGTGTGTAGTGGTTTAAATGGTTGAGTGGAATACAAGTTTGACTTGACGCGATTCCTTGTTCAATATTATCTTAACACAAGTAAATTTAGATGAAAACACTGATTTTTCAAACTCCAATGTAGATAAATTATCAGTAAATTGATGTGAGACGTCACAATTCCTGAACGAGACATCAAGTTTTTTAAAGGAATAAATGCAAGTCGCATGAAGCACTTAAGATGAAGTGTAGTTCCAAGAACTGGATACTCGTGAAAATAAGTTTTTACGGCATTTCCGAAAGGCATTTTTGCCTCCTAACTTCTAAGCATTCTCAACCAAAGGTATGTTTCAGGACTGAGTTTAAATATGTGTTCGAACGTTCTCCGGAGAATTGCTTCGTTTTTAAATGATGTAATAAGGAGACAGAAATTATCCAGACTATGATACAAACCCATCTCCCTCTACTACAGCATACCTGGCTGAAACAAGTCGTATGAATAATCCTAATTAATTCTTCTTGAATTGTACATGAACTGTCTGAACCGTATACCGAGGTCCATCGAAGTCTTACACTCCAACTATTTACTTGAAAACAGTTTGGCTCACCCCACATTTACTCACTTTTTATCTGTAACGGTAGGTTTAGCTGTTAATAGATACCCGAAAAATAGTTTTGTAGGTCTTCGGCATTCGTATTCACCTCAAGCACAAACGCAAGCTGGAGCTGACAATTCTGCTTGTGGACTGTTATGATCATAAAAAAGGACAGAGGCTACCAATTCGGAAAACATTGTACAGGTAGGCTATCTGTCCACTCACGCAAGACTCATACAGATACATAGGAAGAAGCTCACGCGTTCCAAATTGAAGGCATAAACTGCTTATACATGAACATCGCGAGTTTACCAAACAAAATGGATGAACTTCGTGAACTTAGCAACGCTAATGATGCTCATCTGATAGGAATATCCGAAACTTGTGTATCGTCTCAGTTGACGGACCAGGAGTTAACAGTACCTGGAATGTCTTTGTTTCGCAACGACAGGAAAATTGGAAAAGGGGGCGGGGTAGCATTATACATACGACCATGCCTGGAGGCACACCAACTTCACAACAAAGAGTTTCTCAAACTTGATGAATCAGTGTGGTGCTCAATAACATTGTCTACTACCTCAAGGTGTCTAGTCGGGGTCAGGAAGCCCACTGCCGACATCGAATATGACAATCGTTTACTGGAAGAATTAACCCGCTCTACGTTTCTTGGATTCTCTCATATCCTGATTCTATGGGACTTCAATCTTCCTAGAATCAATTTCACGGGACATATCTACACTGGAGATGACATTTCAACCGACCCACATCAACTATACTGATGAAAGCTTCACCTGCACCTGCACACGACTTTCCTAAATGGACCTGAGAGCTGACCTGGTGCTCCGTAAACTGCAGCATCTAAGAAAATACACTTCTCCCGGTTCTTATATGGTTCACTCTTCTATACTGAGGGGAGCGGCTTCAATCCTGGCAAAACCACTTAGCTTGATGTTATAACACTGGCTAAGCCGAGGCGAACTGCCGGAAATTTGGAAGCTGACTCACATCAGACCAATTTTCAGAGGTCAACGCAGTGAACCCTCAAGCTACTGACCAGTGGCCCTTCTCACCATACCTTCTAAAATTATGGAGTCCCTAATATACGACGGTATGCACGAATACTTATTATCCATAAAGTTCTCACCTCAACAGCATGGTTTCGGAAAAGGTCATTCTTGTATGACCAACCTGCTGACTGCAGTGGATAGATGGACAACCATCCTTAATCTCAAGGAGAAGGTTGATGTCATTTACCTTGATTTTTCAAAAGCTTTTGATAGGGTCAACCATATATGTCTTATCAATCAGAGGAGGGCCAAAGAACACATTACGCCGGGAAATAAAAACAGATATGAAAAGGATGAATAATAACTGGAAAGAGCTGGAAAGGATTGCCCAGGACAGAGTTGGATGGAGAATGTTGGTGAGCGACCTATGATCCTTCACGAGGGGTAACAGGCGTAAGTAAGTAAGTAATAAGCTTAGACGATTGGGTATCAAACCACCTCTAATTGACTGGCTCGCTTCATATCTAGAAAACCGACATTTTAAAGTCAGGGTTAACTTCAATCTCTTTCAGGCTGTGGAATGTCCCAGTGGGTTCCCCCAGGGCTCAATACTAGGACCTCTCCCCTTCTTGATTTACATTAATGATCTTTTTCAACAAGTTTCATCTGACTTATTGCTTTTTGTTAATGATGTGGAACTTTGGAGAAATACGTAACCAAAAAGACATACTAGCACTTCAGAAGGATCTGACTCGACCTTAAAGTTGGGCAGACGACAAAGGACTTACCTTCAACACTTCAAAGTGCAAATTAGTCCATCTGCGACATGTTGCAGACTATAGTTACAACTTAGGTAACTCCTCTCTAGAAGTTTCACAAGTCGAAAAAGATTTGGAAGTGTTGGTACCCTACGACTTGATATCGTACGCTAACTATGGCAAAAAGGCATTTCAAGCAAACCTTGAACTGGTAACATTGAAGTGCATTTTTGGCCAGTTTGACGGCAGAACTTTCCACATAATCTTCAACAGTTATATTCGTCCCTATTTAGAGTACGGAAACATAATATTTCCTCCCTCCCTCCAAAAGGATAAGGACACTCTGGAACGTATCCAACGTCGAGCCACGAAATAAGTTCAGGGATTCAAATTCAAACCTAATAAAGAGCGCCTCCAATCACTTAACCTTTACCCGTTAGAGTACAGACGTCTTAGAGGTGACATTCTTATGACTTACAGTATCCTTAACACTTCTGGTCATCCACCCAAACATTTCCTTAAGCTTAGTCACAATAATAACCTAAAGGGTAACACCCAGAAACTGGAGACCCAACATAGCGGGACAGACTGCAGACACAACTTCTACTCCGTCAGAGTTGTCAAATGCTGGAATTCGCTGCCGACTGAGCTAGTCCAAGAGACTTCCCAGGAGTTTTTTAAGAGGAAACTTGGCTTATTCTTAGGGACTAAGTATAACATATAATTATGATTTACCAAATTCCTTTTTCCCTCTATTATCGTTCATATACCTAGGTTCTTACCTGTAGGTATTGGTGATCCACTGCTACTAGACACGGAAGTCCGTTAAGCGAAAGCTTCTTCTATTCCGTCCATAACCATTTGAACCACTTGGACCTCATTAATTTACAGGACTCACTATAGCTGGAGGGGATCAGTCACACATCCGCAGCAGACTACGAGTGAGCATGCCGTGATATGTGTCACTTAAACCTACCAACCAAATTAGATAAAACGTTTCTCAACAAATCCACAACTCCCAAATATGTCCCCACACTCATCCATCCATGACTTCTGATTTGAGTGGTTTGGATTTTAACGATGTTACGAAAAATGATTTGCCACTGTAGTAACATTTTTGGTGGTTAGGCCGATATGCCCTGGTCCTCTTAACGTTAAACTTTGATTGTCCTCCTCGATATAATATTGTATGATTTGTTTGCATAGCGCAATGTAGTGTTTGTTATCTGAGTTCCTTGCATATTTATATAATTCATCTTGTAAAATGTCAAGATACCTAGTATGTTTACTATTGATGTTTCTAAACATTATGGCACCTCAAAAAAGTAATCATTTAGCGTAAGAATTCAGATGGTCGGCAAAGGTTAGACTGGGTGTTTCACAGTATAAAATTTCAACTCGACTCAGTAACAAAAATGTTGATGTGTGTGCAGGAAGTGATTGGTCGACAGACTTTTGACTTGGTTACTTTGGACACATCTTAACTAAGCTGCCCCGAAAGAAGCAAATGGTTCTCGTCTCAACCATTCAAGTGAATTTGAATTAGAGTATAAACTAGCTATCCTAGCAACAACGCAATTTAATCAAGAAGTATTAGACGAAGCACAAACGAATGTACTGTATTTGTAATCCAAAATCAAAACAGTCATCAATACAAAGGAGTCATTGGTTCATTCAAACACCACAACTACCCAAAAAAAGAGTGGAGCGAAAAAGTTCAATTTCCATACCACGAGGAACAGTTAACTCTGATTAGAGTTGATACTACAACAAGAATGATAAGTCTTCAATCACACGCTTACAACAACCGTATCCAGTGGACATAGCTGTCCGTTATACATCACTGACACGATAACGAAAGTTCTCTGTTATGTCAACACGGGCAAAAATATGTGTTCCTCCCGAGAATACTAGCGATCTTTTACAAAACCTGGTTTTCAACTTACAAGTAATTAAGGGAAAAGCCACCGCCAAATACGACAAGAGATATGTTTACTTTGAAGTCAGTTTACCAAAACCCTCAAGTGGAAGTTCAATGAGAATTGTAAGGCCAATAAACAGTACATTGGCTGTTGCGGCACATCAATGACTTGAAATCTACTTTGAAAAGTGAAACTGTTTTCTGGGAAATCGATCTGGTCGAAGTGCATAACCGAACTCCTAAGGATGAAGGCGATATCTCTTAAGTTGCTATTATCACTTCCTTCGGACTCTACGAACTTTTTCTCATGTCTATCGGTCTAGAAAATGCTGCAAAAACTTTCCAGAGATTCATCTTCGACGTTTTTTGAGGTCTCAACATTGTACATGTGTATGTTGATGACTACTTAATAACAAGTCCTGATAGTAAATCTCATCTCCAGCATCTGAACTCTGTTTTCAAACGGCTGCAGAAACACGACATTACTGTAAACACTTGAAAGAGTCGAACCAAAACTGACATCCTAGATCTCCTCAGACACACTATTGATGCTTAAGACATCCTACTCTGAAAAGCAAAAAGGCAGCCATTCTGGACTACCCATAACTGATCACAATCAAGGGACTACGAATATTCAACGAGTAATCTTCGACAAGCCTGAAACTACGGATCAAGCAGATAGGAACAGGTCAGCAAACTTTTCTCTGCCGCATATCTGCAGGTAGGGATCGTCCAATAGTGCGGAAAAACTAAGGATGCAATGTCATCAATACGTTGCATAAGCTTTCTCATTCAGGTGTTCGTGCAACCATCAAGCTCATAGCAGAGCCATTTTGTTGGCCTGTTATAAATAAAGACGTGAGGGAGTGGGCACGCTTCTATGTAAGCT